TGGTGTGGACCAATCAGTTTCAAGGACAATGCATATGTTATCAGAGTATGTTTTTTGTTTGCATTTTGAACACAAGTATTGTGGTTAATGCAGACATGATTCCTTGTAAAAGGTTTCAGTTTAGTGTTTTAACATCTTAACACCTATATTATTGGTTCCTTCGGTAAAGTCACGTAGAAGGGAAACAATAAAATAATAAAAATATAAAACAATAAAATTCTCACGACGTTTCGACTGCAACACAAGCAATCATCATCAGGTGTGAAAACCACAGCAAGAAAATTTGAAAAAAGTGGCGGTTTTTTATAAACGTTAGATGGACTCGTCCATCTGAATAACTGCCAATTCGCTCTCCGTGATGCTAACGTTAAAAATAAACGCCACTTTTTTCAAATTTTATTGCTGTGGTTTTCACACCTGATGATGATTGCTGCTCGTGTTGCAGTCGAAACGTCGTGAGAATTTGATGTTTTATATTTTTATAATTTGATTACCTCCCTTCTACGTGACTTTACCGAAAGAACCAAGAATATGAATCCCTGCAGTCACGAAAGCTTTAAATCAACATCTTAACACCTGTTTTGTTGCCAGAAAAAAGGAGAAACCCTTTTTTGTAATCAGTGGTTCTTAACCTATATTGCAGCCTTGCGCCCCTTTGGTTCTCAATCATGAAACAAATGTATAAAGTTGATAGACAGGTGTGATTAAACAAAGTCGTTGTAGTTACATGCCCGTGATTATTTTGTGATTTTGATGATTTACCTTAAAAAATCTGCGTTTTTTTTCTTCAAATTTTCTTGCTGTGGTTTTCACACCTGATGATGATTGCTTGTGTTGCAGTCGAAACGTCGTGAGAATTTTATGGGTTTATTTTTATTATTTTATTATTTCCCTTCTACGTGACTTTACCGAAAGAACCAAGAATATGAATCCCTGCAGTCACGAAAGCTTTACATCGAAATTTACATCTTCTATCAGACTTTCCAAGGCATGTCTGTCATGAGTGGACATGAAAAAGGCTGGGATTTTGTAATTGGATAATCTTGAGCAAGTAGTTTCACAACATTTAAGTCAATCGTATGTTAAACGGGGTTCGTCAGTTCTTCATGTAGCGTGGCAGCAGTCATGATTGATATAATTGGCAAATAACGTGTCACGGTGCCCGCGATGTCACCAATAACCAGCGGAAGCCGTTCGCTATGAGGTCACCAAGTGTGGCTGCCCACCTCTGTGTGAGCATGAGTTTGCAATAATTACCAATGGGTGGTGCCGTCGTTGGTTCTACATGTGGTGGTTTAAACCGTGTGTCAAACACATAAAACACAAATAGGGCTGACTGCAGCACAAGCGGCTGTGGTCTAAATGGGAATGTTCAAAGGTCACATTTGGCGAGCATTGATGACACTTTGTACACCTGGTAGCCAATTTTAAAACGCCGTGTTTGTGCATTTTCCAGACAAAAGAGAATAGTCCGGAACAGGCGTTGTTGTTATTGTTCTCACATTACCCTGAATACCGTGCGTTAATGGACACTGAGTGTCTTTCCGTTTGTTGGAAAGGGGTCATCACAGATTTTAGGCCACAGGAGCTGTCATGTCACTCACCGTAAACAAAAAAGACTTGTGTTTAGTGTTTCAGGTTTAATGCAAATCAATGTATTTAAAGCAATAATTATATCCGTGTGTAGCTGCGCTGTAGTGTTTGCGTGCTGCTTGAAGGTATATAATATCTACATGAATGAAAATATATTTAGCTGTCCAGGATGTGTCGCGTTGCTGTAACGCTTTTGCGTGTGAGCACACAACGTGTCGGCAAATAAGAGCTGCAATTTTATTTGAACATCCCCCGATGTGCACAGTGCACCTCGTACAATCATTTGGTATGTATATTATACGCACAGCTATGCAATCATGAACTAGCCATGTGACCCCAGATTGCTAGCTCCAACAAGAAGCAGGCTCGGGGTCATCCCATGCCTCCTGGATTGACGGGGACACAGCAACGCTGTCAGAAAATCACCTGGTGCAGCCAGTGGCGTTGTAATGACATTGTCAGCTCGCGGCAACCGGTCAGGTGGGGCCCCGATGTTTGATTTGTCTCGCACGGTCGCACCTGGAGGCTATAAAACGTCGCGGCTCCTCTTGCCTAACCGCATCGCCATTACGCTCATGGTCTCGAACATTGAACGCTGTAGGGGGCACTCCGTCTTGGCACAATGCAGCCACGACCTCTTTGCAATATCACGTCACGGCTCTCGTTAAATTAACATAAAATGTGGGACGTAAAAGAAAACATTTCCATAATAAGTTATATTTTTTTTAAACTTTTTTTTAAACCACGCTTTAATGAAATGTACCGTACTCGTAATGGCAAAACTCCACGACTCCAGGAAGTGGCCCCGAAACTTGGCCACAACGTAAGGGGACAATGGGGAGTTACAGCCAACGTGAGTTGAGCGTGGACAATTAGACCTAACCCGAAACATGAGATATAAAAAATATGGTTTAAAAATATTTTTTTTCATAGAATATAGTATTGTCATCAGTATGACATAAGTATATCAAGTTTGCAGTCGATACCACATTGGGAAGTGGGCTAAAATTGAGTTACAAGATTTGAGGACACTACTACAGACAGAGTGAGTTAAATAAAAGCGCGTAAAAATATATTCAAACCGCATTTCAAATAAGTCTTGTTGTTCTTTAACACTGTTGTACGAATACCTCGTGGTAAATGTCAAGGCCCCCCCCCCCAACTCGTAGCTGTGGCTACCGGGGGGAGCCAGGGCGCCCCCTGGTGGGGCTCCACCGCTCGTCAGGCTGCCGATGGAGCGGATCCAATTGGTGGCCCGCACTCGAAGCTGAGAGCTTGGACCCTGGAGAGATGGAAACTTAACAACAACAACAAAGTGTGTGTTTTGAGAGTAGTTCTGAGCACCTAAACCACTCGAACTTACTTGTTCTCTACAGCAGCTCCGCCACCGCGCCGCTCGTGGTGAGCGAGTACGAGAGGGGCACAGCGGCGTATTCGCAAGGTGGTTTAGTACAGACATTGAAATAATGCCACGTGGGGCAGCAGCGAGGGGGGGTAGAGTCGGAGAACGGTGGGTCACAGGAGAACGGGGAGCAGCCTCCACAAAATTACCACGGATAACAGTTTTGTATGTGCGTGATATGCGTACGAGTGTGACTGAAATTTTCCATGTCTATCTGGTGGATACAATAGGTTTATCAGTTTCCTGGGAGCAGTCAAGAGATTGCTCCCTCCAGGTCAACCATGCTATGTATGCCGATCTGTTACCCGCTTCTTTACTCCGAGTTGGAAATTGTTGCAAATCCTGGAGTGTGCCATGAAGAGGTAGGGGGGCCTCATCATCAGCTAAAACAAAGCACTGGGTATTGTCATCACTCTACCTCTTCAACTTTCCAATGGGGACAATCGTAGAGAGGATAAGTTGGCATACTTGGGGCAGTGTGCTCATGACCAGCTCCAGTTTGACAGTGGAGCTCTCTCCAAATAAAACGAGGGTTATTATCTTTCCATCAGTCCCAGCGGTGTCAATATTTCCCTGTGGAGTAGGCACGTGAAGATACACATTGTGAGTGGAACATAATTTTCGGTAAAAAAAAGATTAGGAAAAATTTGCATTCATGACAGCAAATGTTGACGAGTCAAGCATGAAAACACTCAAAAAGCGATTTACATTCAAAAAATAAAATTTATTGCTGCTGGAAGGATGCAGTGGACAAGCAGAGAAATGCAATCAAATCGCCTCCGTGGGTCTATTATTCACAGTACCTATTTGACAAGCAGTGGCTGCAGATCAATGCAACTTGCAACATTAAATTCCAGTAAACAAGACTCAACACGAGGACTGCGTACATGTGATAAACATTGTTGGCATAAAGGGCAAGTTTTTAAGAACTGAGTGTTGTTTTAATGCAGCGATACAAAGCATATCATGCTTAATATTTTTTTTCCAGTGTCCGGACACATCCATGAAATTTCACAATGTAATTAGGTCTAAGCAAAAAATGGGAATTATAATTACGTATTTCATGCAAGGTTTGTCATGCGACCGGTATTTCCAGTCGACGGAATCCCTTTCAACTGGAAGTGATGCTTTGTGGCCACGACAAAACAAGTACTATTATAATCTTTGGTTCTTTCGGTATTTTATGTAGGTATAAAATAAAAGAAATTAAATCACGACGTTTCGGGCGCAACACAAGTGCCCGTCATAAGTTGCGCCCGAAACGTCGTGATTTACTTTATTTCTACCTACGTGACTTTACCGAAAGAATCAAAGAGTATGGATCCCTGCAGTCACGAAACACTTCAAATCTATTCATAATAAAGGTTTTTGGGTTAGATCGCGTTATTTATGAATGTGTTGTAACCCTCCACCACCCGACACGGCCAATCAGCAAAAAAAAGTGTCACGTTGACAAAAGACAAATAATTCACTGCTTTAGCCCACCGGTGTGTTGAAGAGTGAATCCACAACATTTACAGTCCGAGTACGACGTTTCGCTGGTAAATACATCCAGCATCATCGGGCAATTCGCCAGAATGGTAAAGCCCTCGCTTGCTCCCGGTTTTATGTAGAGCAGCAGGGTGACGTCATCATTTAACTCATATCAGGTGCAGTGCATGATGATGCTGGATGTATTTACCAGCGAAACGTCGTACTCAGACTGTAAATGTTGTGGATTCACTCTTCAACACACCGGGGGGCTAAAGTAGTGAATTATTTGTCTTTTGTCAACGTGACACTTTTTTTTGCCGATTGGCCGTGTCGGGTGGTGGAGGGTTACGGCACATTTATAAATAACGCGATCTAACCCAAAAACCTTTATTATGAATAATATTGGTCGCGAAAGCCTACGTGTTAAACTTCAAATCTAGATTAAGTACTATTATGATTAACATATGCCACGGTGAAAAATACGCAGTTCACCTCGAATACGATGTAGGTGTAGCCTATTGAATTATTATGATTTTGCATCTTAGCATACGTTATGTATTTGCACGTTCTGTCTTTTCACGATTTTCCAAGCAAATGGATATTTTCAAAACAAAATTGTAGTCGAGGAAGAAAAACTAAATAAATGTGCCCTTCATTTTAATCCATCAAAGTGTCACTTGTGTGAACGCAAGTTATGTTCCAGTAACCATCTCCTTTGTAATCAACCAGCATTGTTTGTGGCACCAAACTCTGGACCAACACCGAAGTGCCTCTCCCTTTGGGGGCAACCAACAGCCAATTCAATGCAGTACAAGTTCCAAAGAACAAGTGGAAAGGGACAATTGTTAATGTCTAATTATAAAAACAATAATTATTAAATGGTTACAACCACATTGAATTGAATACTAACGTAAAACTTCATAAAGCCTCCACAAAGACCACTTCTTGCCACAGAACTAGAGAACGTGTATTTATTTTCCAGCTAAGCGGGCTGTGGCACAAAGACACACGTTTACACCCACCCATATTTCCCTAGATCGTGATGGCGGAGGATAGAATTAAATGTTTTTTTTTGCTTTGCACTCAGACTGGCAAGAAAACGAGAGGGAAATGTTTACACCTTTATAATGCATTACATTTGCATACAAGTGATGGCAATTGCAGAACGTGGTGATTTTGCAATATAAGCACCTCGAACAAAAGGTTAAGAAATGGCATCGGTGATACGCGTGGCAAATACTTGCATTCATGCTTAACTTACTGTGAAAAAGAACAAGCTTTAAATTAGGAATGTTGCTGTGCATTCAGTACCCCGTGTATTGTGGAATGCATTGCTGTGCGACCAGCAGAGGAATGATGCAAGTGATTTTAATGTGCGCAAGAGGAATGACGCAAGTAATTTTAATATGCAAACGATCAAACAATGAGCGATAAATACTGTAACAAGATGCTTCAAGAGATGTTTGAGGAAATGGCATTGAGTGTAGAGAAAGTAATGAATGTGGCAAAATCTAAAAAATCATGGTGGTTCACCCCGAAGTAGGCCAAGTCATAAAGGTTTAGTATAAAACAAAAAGATTGACCAGTGCAGGAGAGTGCAATGTGAAGAGAGTTAAGCACAGCAAAAGGGTTAACAGATGCAGGTCTGGGCCTGTGCAAAGGATGTCTTCACTTGAGCTTCAGGAAGGTTTCAATGCTGTCCAGCTCGACTGCTTCAGCAAACTTCTCATAGTCCTATACAATCGCGAAAAAGAAGACAATATAGTTGCTTGACAGGAAATAATAATTTTAATAATAATTCAATAAACTATCATCCCGGCACAATTCTGAATAATCGAACTACAAAGTAAATACATGTAAAACGCACCTTGTATCACACCTCGAAATGGCAATCGATTGTGGTTGGCAGGTCCATCGCCAAAAGGCAAGCTTCAGTGAATTTTGGAATGTTATCTGATGGGAATTTGAACCTCGTTACGCAATTAACAAATCTATTTCAAATTTGCTGTGCCTCTCAAACCTGTTGGGAGAAGCCCATAATTTCTACTTTACACTTAAACAACTATTCAATCTTTACAGAGGTGTGAAGAACCTGATATAGTTAATTGTAATGCTGTATTACTCATAATAATATGAAAATAAATTGAGCGAGGCAGACTGCTATGGAGAATGCCGTCACCAAATATGAATCCAGAAGCAAAAAAGGCAATGCTGACAGGACACAAAGGCAAAGCAAGACGCCACAAAAATATGGATTGATGCAGTATAAAAGACACACAAATGTCGAGGAATGTTGTGGAAACGTCAGTAACAGATGGGACATGGTAATCGCCAAAAATGGACTGCTGCCGAAAATGTGTGGACCCAGCGGCCTCCATAATGGGGCTGATGAACCGCAAGACCGAAATCTAATTATGGTAACTATATTGTTATCTGAATATCAGCAACGAGAAAATATTTTGTGAGAAATGTATTTGGTGAAATAAGGACATACATTGAGAAACATTAGCATCTTTTTTTTGCTGACATGATCATGATAATAGCCAATGAAGGTGAATGTCAGGAAATTATTGTATGACTTCAAAGGGGAGGCCGAAAAGCTGGACTCGAGTTTAATATGAGCAAACTAAAGATCATGTATAACAAATGTGCTGAATAAAATAAACACATTATTTGGTGATGCTGCGTTGCCAGTGATGCAGACACTGCAAACAAAAAACTCACACTTGTGAATAGCTGCCATAAAAGAAAAAAATATAATCAACGACGTTTCAAGCAATGGCCCTTCTTCATGTGCTCTGAAGAACGGCAATCACCCTTATAAAGTTTTATTTTAAAGCAGTGTTCTTGAGTGTGTTGAGTTTTTAGTGAAGCAACATTTTTTTGAGTGAATATTCAAAACCTATCACAATGAACAAACGTGGACTAGAGTCGAAATTTAGGAAATAAAGATGCGAACGAGGACAGGATGGTGTGCTTCTGGAAAGACTTAATTTGAAAATGAACATCGGTCTACCAATATGGCTGAAGAGAATCTTTTTCAATCGGTGCATATTGCCATCTATGACAATAATTACAAACATGGACAACGAAAAAAGCAATAGAACCAAAGGTGAAAAGTGTGCAAAGGAAGCTTGGACAGATGCATGCTGGGACTTACAATGAGACAGAAAAAGAAGGAAATGTGTCAAGAAACAAAACACAAATGGAAAGACGTGATAACATGTAGGCTTTCACGACCAATATTCTCCATAAGAGGTTTTTTTGGGTTACTCTCCAACACACCGGTGTGCTGTACTACTCACGACTTGGCATGTTATGTTGACTTGACAAACCTTACTATTTCGCTGTGTCGGGTGGTGGCGGGTTTAACGACACATTTATATTAACGCTATCTCACCCAAAAAACCTCTATTATGGAAAGACGTGAGATAATGACTGTCAAGTAAAGTAGGTGGACACTGGCAGAACTCATCGCTCAAAGGGTTACTGGTTGATGGACAAGACCTAGACAAGGCAATGGACCACCCAACCGTTCAGGACAAGATACTGTCGTGACAGAACAATGAACGCAGTGCACAAATGAGACAGACTGTGACATTGCAGGACTGTGAGGGTTATTAACATCACGGTAAGGCTCTCACCCTCCAGTGGATTGACAACGGGTAATGACGATGTTGAACAGTATTGGTCAGACTGTGGATTAAGTGAAGAATAAAAGCCACTTACCCCACAGTAGGCGTTTTCATTGAAGAGTTGTGGTGGCATGGCGGTGGGGTTCCCACTTAGCTTCCTCATATTCTGCCGATGCTCATCATTTGCGGCAATGTCCACCATCTCGAACTTCAACCCCTTAGCCTCCAGAACTCTTTGTACCTCGCTCTGATTAGACTTGACCTGTGCAAAGACACGGCCAGCACAAATGCTCTGGTTAGGATGTTTATGCCAACACGTTAAACATTGCCACCAAAAAAACGCGAAGTGGGGATGAGAACCCAGGTAGAACTTTCAGGAAGGTCTCGAGCCTGGCATAGGCATACGACTCACTTCATGTGACCCTGCAAAACCCTGAGTGTAATATTTTTACGAAAATATAGGAGGTACTGCACACACAGTGTATTAGGGTTTCCGTGGTAAGGCGATATTATTGCTATAATGCTAATTTACCCAGGAAAGCCCCACAATAATTTTGCAGGAGGATTCTGCCAAGTTTTCGCAAAAGGGGGCGATAATTGCTATGTTATTTTCCAATTCAGATTAACACGTAGGCTTTCGCGACCAATATTACCCATGATAAAGGTGTTTTTTAGGTTAGACAGCGTAAATATAAATGCGTCGTTGAACCTGCCACCACATGACACAGCCAATTAGTAAGGTTTGTCACGTTAACAAAATGTGCCAATTAGTTACTACCTAAGCACACCAGCTTCATCAGGTGGTTGTAATGATCAGTGAAACGTCGTACTCGAATTACAATTGTTGTGGGTTTACTGTGTGCAGAAGTATTCACTAATTGATTGTCACTTTTTCTTTACGTGGCAAACTAACTGGCGGTGGCGGGTCTAACGACACATTTATATTTACGTGATCTAACTGGAAAAAAACTTTAAGATGGATATTTTCCAATTGAGTAATTTGTAGATAATTCTGATTTCACAAATTGGGCCATTACGCCATCATGCAAGAGTCTACTCTTGCAAATTATGTCATGGGATTGTTTACGTCCACTGGTAAGCGAGGTGAATACACCTGCTTAATGACCAGGGGAGCCGCTGGATTGGTACCATCAATCTGCAACGAGCAGCGAATGTGATACTGCTGGGCCATGTCACTGCCTCAATGATGATATATAATGCACTCTTTAAAAACCGCGATAATCATGTCATCCGTTTTGGGTCACATCATTTTTTTAAATATATATTTTATATCCGGACAGAATATTTTAAAAATAATTTGCACGTATTCATGACGAACTGGACGCATAAGAATGCGCGATAACAAATCTTTAGACTTACTCATTGTTTTTTTGGGTAAAGTCACATATGTAGAAATACCATAAAATTATATTAAAATAAAATAAATCAATCATGACGTTTCGACCGCAACACAAGCGATCTTCATCAGGTGTAAAAAACAAATAGCACATAGGGTGACATCAACGCAACGTGCAGTTTAACGCTCTCTCTGTGTTGCGTTGATGTCACCCTATGTGCTATTTGTTTTTTACACCTGATGAAGATCGCTTGTGTTGCGGTCGAAACGTCGTGATTGATTTATTTTAATATAATTTTATGGTATTTATACATACGTGACTTTACCAAAAAAAAACAATGAGTAATATATGCAGTCACGAAAGCTTTAATTCTTTGTTAATCTTTAGACTTACTTAGGTATAATAATTAAACCTATAAATAAATAGCAGTATTTTGCTATATGGTTTTCTGGAGTAATTGACAAGCACAAGAGTTGTATGGCATCATAATTTCCAGAGTATTTAATGACTAAACTATTTTAAAATATTTTATTTACCAGGGAAAGCCCAATGGGCTATTAGCTCTTTTCAGAAGCGATCTGGTCACAAATGATAGCTCAACGAAGTGGCTTATTACGTGAAAATTTAAAGCAGCAAAATAATCTAAAGGCATTTTGATTTAAAGCTTTCGTGACTGCAGTAATTCATATTCTTAGTTCTTTCGGTAAAGTCACATTGAAGGGAAACAATAGAATAATAAAATATATATAAAACAAGAAAAAATCTCACGTTTCGACCATAACACAAACGGTCGTCATCAGGTGTGTCGGTTTGCATAAATTTATAAATTTATTTATTTATTTGCATAAATACAAACATTTATTTGCATAAATAAATGTATGCAAACCGACACACCTGATGACGACCGTTTGTGTTATGGTCGAAACGTCGTGAAAATTTTTATTGTTTTATATATATTTTATTATTTTATTGTTTCCCTTCAACGTGACTTTACCGAAAGAACTAAGAATATAAATAATCTAAAGGCATAAATTTCGATTTAAAGCTTTCGTGACTGCAATGATTCATCTTCTTTGGTTCTTTCGGTAAAGTCACGTAGAATGAGAATAAAATAATAAATTGATAAAATAAAATAACACAATAATATTCTCACGACGTTTCGGCCACAACACAAGCGGCCTTCATCAGGTGAAGGGGGCGAGACTGTCTGGTAGGACAGCGCTGGAGTGAGAGAGCCACGTTCAGATCACGGCTTTTAAGCTGTGTGAGAGGATGACACCTTTGTCATCTGGCCACATGGCCAGCCTGCTCTAGACCAATTCCGCGACCACATCAATTCCATACACCCAGCCATCAGATTTACCATGGAGGTCGAAAAAGATGGCAAACTACCCTTTCTGGATGTCTTAATTAAAAGGAGACATGATGGTTCAATGAGCCACTCTGTCTACAGGAAAGCTACCCATACAGATGCTTACTTGAAACCGGATTCCCACCACCATCCATCCCAGAAGAACTGCCTCATCAAGACTCTATACCATAGAGCCCAATGCATTTCCGACCAGGAACACATTACCAGTGAACTCAAGCACGTACACCAGGCTCTCAGGGCTAATGGCTACTCCGACTACACAATCCGCAAAGCCATCACTCCAGTCGTGAAGAAGGATCCTCTTGTGGAGCCACTCAAAACCATCACCTTACCCTACATTGCAGGGGTCACTAAAAAGATCTCCAAAATCCTGAATAAACACAAGATCCAGGTCCGATTCAACACAGTACACAAAATCCGTGATTTAGTTCCATCTGTAAAAGATGCTCTTCCAGACATACAGTACCCGGGCGTTTACAAACTAAAGTGCCTCTGTGGTAGTAGCTACATTGGAGAAACCAAAAGACATATCTCGGACCGCATCCGCGAACATAAAGCAGACTTGAAACACGGTAAGACGAACTCCTCTGCCGTGGCAGATCACTGTTACAATTCAGTGGGCTCACATGACATTGACTTCTCCAAGACGGAGGTTCTTTGCAAACCAACTGGCTACCATGAGAGATTCGTTCATGAGGCCATTCACATATACAAGCACAGAGACAATTTCAACCGAGAAGATGGATTCAGGCTTAGTAACCACTGGAAAGATGTGTTAAATCATTTCTGTTCTTAATTAATTGTAATTTTACGATGACCTTCAGACCGCAGCTCTTTCGCCAGCATTGCCTCTAATACCTCTCACACCACGGTTAATGGTATGGTTTACAACATGGAGTATACTAGGGCTTCGCAGCTGTCTCTCTCCCCCTCCTCTGTTCCGACCATGGACGAACTCGTCCGTCTGAACGGGGCCCGTAGCTATCCGTGGTACGGAAATTTGAGGGCTCTTTGTTCCTCTCACACAGCTTAAAAGCCGTGATCTGAACGTGGCTCTCTCACTCCAGCGCTGTCCTACCAGACAGTCTCGCCCCCTTCACCTGATGAAGGCCGCTTGTGTTGTGGCCGAAACGTCGTGAGAATATTATTGTGTTATTTTATTTTATCAATTTATTATTTTATTCTCATTCTACGTGACTTTACCGAAAGAACCAAAGAAGAAAAATCTAAAGGCATGTTTTTAAATGTGGAGGGAAAACTCGGCGGACACAGAAAAAAATCCACACGACCACGGGGCGAACGTGCAAACTCCAAATATAGAGGCGTCGGGGTTATGATCGAACCCACGACCTCCTGCATACCAGGCAGTGGAGAAAACACCTCGCCACTAAGGCACCGTGTAATCGACAGCTTGTGCATTACAAGCGGTATAGGTTGTAAAGTGGCAATGATTAAAATATTTGTGGCCAGCAAATCTTGAGTGAACTGCAGTTTAAAGTGATTATCTGTTCATAAATACCCAACGCAGAAGATCCCTGGGTTTGATCTTCCAGGAAGCTTATGGTCCACCCTAAACCACATCCGCACAAACAATCCAGTGTGCGACTGTGGTCCTCCAGAACAGACCGCACAATATATAACGACGCAATGGCCGATCCACAAATACGAAGAAGATATTACAAACAATACACTCCCCCTGCTCCTGACGCCGTTATCTGCATGTGAAATTGTAGTTGTTGCTCTGCATCTACATCAGCCATACGAAAGAAGCAGAAGATCTGTTCACAGACAACTTTTATATTTAGGGGCATTGCTATTAGAGTTGTTAAACGAGAACCAGTAATCATTTTCAGAATCGTTTAACGGTGCTAAAAGTTATGAATCACTCATCATTTCCAGTGGAATTTTAGTAATGAATGAATGCACCGATTGGCTTGCGTGCATGGACAAACCTTAATATCCGTGCCCTTGTTTTTTAGTTAAAGGTGCAGCCCTGATATTGCTGGCTCACGCCACTGCTGGCGGAAGAGCCTCCACTCCAGGGAGCTTTAGAGGGTATTTGGTCTCCTCTTCTACGCTGACCAGACGCCTTGAAATAAATAGGTTTGTGTACCCACACTACCCCACCACACACGACCTGCCCATCGACTGTGGTGGATAGAGGCAGGGGGATTTTAATGTTTCTTTTTTTCCCATCGTTTCAACTGCCGTGCTGGGAGGTGGAGTCGAACCGGTGACCTCTCCATTGCAAGTCGAGCGTGCTAACCATTACAACACAGAGGTCGTATTCAAACCCGGTTTGCAAAGTGTTGCACAACCAACACACATCGTGATGGGCTGAGGTGACATGCTCCCAGGTGAGATCAGGGAGGGTGTGGTTTGGGCCTACCTAAACTTTTGCACACTCACGTTTAGCCTCGTTAGCCTTTACTGGCCGAGTAAAAAGTGCACAGTGGTGAGGCAACAATACTGTTTGGTTTAACATGGGGATGTTGTGCAACATTAAAAATAAAGTCTTGAGTATTAAAAATA